TCCGCGTAAACGAGTGAATTATCGTAAGTTACTACAGAAGTAACGCTTGCGTAAACGTAGTATGAGTGAGTGAGTTAATGATAAATAATGTATAATACTTACTTGACATTTTAAGGTTCTTTAATTTTTTTTTGAAGCAGAGATGTCATCTAAACGAGTCACGGCGTTTTTCTTCTTTCACCTATGTAACAAATAAAAAACACCTATTCGTGTAATGACAGCTGACAAGCCGACACAAATAAATAAGGCGTCTTTGTGTGCATATATAGGTGGAGAAAAAAAACGCTGTGACTTTTATTTCGAATTTGAGCATTCTTCGTATTCTTATAAAAGTTCACGAATTGAGCTTTTATAAAAGTTTGATGAAGATTGTTCTTGATTGATTGTTCCTGATTGTTCTTCTCTTCTTGATTATTCTTGATTGTTCTTTGACTTGTGAGGATTCGTTATTTATTAATATAATTACTTGTGTGGTGACACTGCTGGTGACTCAAGTGGCGATTCATGTGACAACTCGACGTGTGGTGAGTCATATGAAAAATTGCGTATTAAAAATTTAAAGAATTTTAAATAATAAAAGTTAATTTTATTATTATTATTTAATTATTTAATTATTTAATTATTAATATGGAAACGTGTGATCAATTGAAAAAGAAATGTAAACGAATTTTTTCCGAAAATTGGCTAACTGATGATCGATTTAAATCTTGGATACGCAAAGTATCATTTGATGATAGTCTTTTTCATTGCACTGTATGCAATAATAATAATTTCTCGTGCAGTTCATCACATGTTTTAAGACATGCGGAATCTGCATGTCATAAAAATAATATCACGAAAAGTACATCATTATTCAATAATAATAATAATAATAATAATCTTTATTTACGGGGTAAACCCTTTAGTGTATACATGACAGAAAGTAGATTATAAAAATTTATCTAAGTAGAATAAAAATACAATTACAATTAGAAAAGAAAAGTTATGTTAGGAGAGTAAACAGATAAGTTTTCGCTTGAACGCAGACACATTGCCGCCGAAGAAATCAACTAAGCCAGAATAGTTGTTTGCAGAGATAGTCATCCTATTTAAACATGAGTTTACGCCATATAAAGTACGGTGATATTGAACATAAAAAATGGAAGATTGTCTTAAGTCTCTGATTGGAACATTTAAATAAATATCTTTTAAAAGGTCAGGACAATCGATAAAACTATTTAATATTTTAAAAATTAATGCTAGGTCAAAGATTAATCTCCTGTTCTCTAAAGTCATTAAATTCAGTCTTATTGAAATGGGATAGTAGTCATGGCAGGTAAAAGCCATAGGATTACCCGTACGGTAGGCTACCGTGCGTAAGAATTTATGTTGTATGCGTTCTATCTTTTCAATATGACATTTGTAATAAGGAGACCATACAGTGGAGCAATATTCCAATTTTGGGCGAACCAACGAGCAGTATAACAATTTCAAAGTGGAGATATTTACAAAATATTTACCCCAGCGGAGGATGAAGCCAAGTACTTTATACGCAGATGAAACAATAGATTGAATGTGATTGTTGAATGATAAGTCAGCGCAAAACATAACTCCCAGATCACGAGCGTTATACTTTATTGAGAGTGGTGAGCCATCAAGTATGTAGTCATACAAAAGCGGGTTGTTTTTGTGTGTAAAATGTATAACGAAACATTTAGAAACATTAAGTCGAAGGCAGTTTCTTCTACACCAGACCTCAAGTTCATGCAGATCACGTTGCAACAGTAAAGCATCAGCAAGTCCATTGATTTTTCGATACATTTTCAAGTCATCCGCATATAGTAAAAAAAGGCAATATTTAATATACATAGCGATATCGTTAATAAATAAAATAAATAAAAGGGGGCCAAGATGCGACCCTTGCGGCACCCCAGAAGAGACAATTATGCTTCTAGACATACTGTTTTTATATTTTACAATTTGTGTTCTGTCTGAGAGAAAGCATGAGATCCAACACAAAAGAGAGCCCTCGACTCCATAAGCTCGCAGTTTACCTAATAAAAGAGTACGATTCACAGAATCAAACGCTTTCGCAAAGTCAGTATACACAGAGTCAACTTGGGAACCACTCTCAACAATATTTGCTAAAAAATTATAGTAATTTACCAAATTTGTAGTCGTGGATCGTCCAGGGACAAATCCGTGTTGTTCGACAATAATAAGGTTTTTGCAGAGCGATCCAAGCTTGCGAGCCACAATGCAGTCAAAGATCTTAGGCATTATGCTTTGCTTACAAATAGGACGGTAGTTAGTAACAAATTGACGTTCACCTCCTTTAAAAATCGGGGAGACAAGACATTGTTTCCAAAGTGCAGGAAATGAGCCCATCTTTAGTGATTTATTAAATATTATCCATAAAAACCTTGATACAATAAAAATACTTGACTTAAAGACCGATGGAGGAATACCATCCACACCGGCGGCGCAATTAAGGGAGAGATTATCAATTTCATTATACACCTCTTCTATAGATATATCCAAGGAGAGAAGATTCAGGGAGTGAGCCAGTTTAGGATCTATTTCAGGTTCAACATTATTTCCGTCGTCGCCGGAGTAGACAGATTCGAAATAATCAGCGAAGCAGTTTGCGATAACCTCATTGTCCTGCACAAGGTGATCATTGTGTAAAATAAAAGAGGCATGAGGCTCTGAGGATCTAATGTTTTTTATAAATTTCCAAAAAAGTTTTGTGTTATCCGTTATGGTGCTTTCAGTTCTATTGATAAAGTTTGCCCAGCATGCAGTAGATAAAGATTTGCACTTTGCTCTAAGGTAAGAGAAGGATAAATAGTCGGAATAAGTTTGTGTATACTTATATCTTAAATGAGCTGATTTTTTTGCCTTTATAAGAGAAATCAGCTCTTTTGTGAACCAAACTGGATAAGAGGATTTAAAAATGGAACGGGAGGGAACAAACATAGTAATAGCGGTGTTCAGGTGATAATATAAGAAATCTACTGCTTCATTTACTGAGAGCTTCTCTAAAGCAGTGTCCCAGTCAATCTGGTTAAGATAATTCATAATAGCTGAGTAGTCGGCTTGCTCGAAACAGAGTTTTCGTGCAGTTTCAACAGGGGAGCAAGCAGTGCTTGAAAAAGGCAGGGAACATATGAGTGGAGGATGATATATATCACAAGGAATAAGAGGCTCATAGGCAGCAGATACACGGAGGCTCTCAAAAGATGAGAAAATGAGGTCAAGCTCATATCCCAGCGCATTTTTCACCGTGTTATGTTGACAGAAATTGCAAAGATTGAAATATTCGGTAACTACATCAGCCTGTTTTGGATGGGAACCATTCATGGGAGTATAAGTTAACGAGGAATAATTATGCTGCCATAAAATATTTGGTAAGTTGTAATCACCGAGAACAATAAAACTGGCATCAGGATATACACAGCGCATGTCGAATACCAGGCGCCCGTGGGAATCGTAAACATCGGGTGAAGAGCCCGGCGGAATATAGACAGCAACAATAATAAGAGAGCTATGTTTGATTTTTACTTCCACAAAGAGATGCTCGACACTCGAAACCGATGTACCAATAATACGACTGTAATAACAATTTCGAACAGCGACCAAAACACCACCGCCTCTCGAGCAGTCGCTAGTGCTCATATCTCTATCATAACGGTAAATTTTGAAATCAATTAGGCCGAGCTCAGCATCCGATATACCCGAATTTAACCACGTCTCCGATAAAATAACAAAATCATAATTCATTGTAGCAAATGTAATGGAACAGCGTAGATCCGATAATTTTGTTCTCAAGCCTCTCACATTTTGATAATACACTAAAGGGCAGTGTTCATGTTTTTTGCACGCGAACTCTGAGGCATATTGACAATTTTCGGTATGCCGTTAAAAAACCTAATAGTCTTGTCGGTGACGCCAGTGTCTCTAAGCGATTCAAACCGCTTCTTAACACAAACGAAATGATCACGCTGCTTCCTGGTTAAATCCTGCTTGATACCAACTGGTCCGGAGTAGCTCTTCTTTTTCTTGAGAATGTCGATGGCGTCGGATTTGGACGGCAATGAGACTCGCAAGGGTCTTGCATGACCCTGTCTAAAAGTGCCGAGTCTCCGGATCTTGATACGAGGAGGATTTAAGGGCCGTATCTTGCGTATTATTTCCTCGGCCGTGGCCAAATCATTCGAACCGTCATCAGTCGAGGAAGAGGGAGAATTTGACTCCTCAATGTTATAAAAAATTAAGTTTGAGGATCTTCTCTCCCTCTCGGAAATTTCCTCCATTATTTCCTCGTGATCGATGGAGGCGGAGGCGGATGATATCTTGTTCTCAATCTCCGTGACTTTCTCAGTTAGCCCCTGCATCTCAGCTGCAATCTGCTCAATATCAGCACGATACAAGCTCGCAAGCTCCTCCCGAAAGATAGTGAACTCTTCACGGATTATAGCTCTAATTTTTCCGATCAAATGATCTGTCAGGTCAAAGGATAATGATGTAAACTCGAGTACTCTAAATAAAGCAGCGGGTAAACGACGATTTAAACAAGAATGGTTACAGATTGAACAATTTAAGCTGTGGTTACTTGAAGTGCCACATAAAGAAAATTTATTTGCTTGTTCAATTTGTAATAAATCTATTGTTGGTGGTTTATCTCAAATCTATCGTCATGCAGATTCTAAGATGCATTTAAAAAATTTGGAAAAATGTAATACAGAAAGTAGTTCGTCGAATATAAATTTAAATGCGCAAAACAAAACATTTTTGCCGTTTAAAAAGAAAAAAATGTCATTTGAAATTCGATATGCCGCCGTAATGGTTGAAAGAAATATTTCATTTGCATCTGCAGAAATAATTCTCAATTTGTTTAAAGACTTAGCGAAAGATAAGGATTGTAGAGAGATTTTAGAAAGTATGTGTATGGGTCGAACAAAGTGTACGAATATAATTTCGAATGTTTTGTGCCCAGTTGAGACTAATCGTGTAGTCAAAAATATTCAAAATACTAAATTTTCAATTTTTATTGATGAAACATCAGACATTACAAATGAAAAATGGATGACGTTTCATGTACGATATGTTAATCCTCAAACATTAGATATTCACTCACAATTAGTAAAGTTGATTGATGTCGATGCGAGAGATTGCAGTGCAGAAAAATTATTTAATGCCTTTAAACAAGAAATGTTGAAACTACAAATACCATTTGAAAATATTATTGCCTTGTCATGCGATAATGCTTTTGTCATGACAGGGAAACATTTATCATTTAAAAAAAAACTTGAAGAAATGTGTAAAAATGTATTAACGCTTTCATGTCCATGCCATTCCGCTGCATTAATTGCGCATGCCACATGTGAAAAAATACCTCCAGTTTGCGACAAATTTTTAAGAAAGATTGCAACATATATAAATAGTAGTCCGAAGCGTACAGCCATTTTTCGCGAATTTTGTGAATGTTTTCAAGAAACAAATCATAAAATTTTAAAATTAGCAGAAACGCGGTGGCTTTCTCACCACTCATGTGTTGAACGAATTCTTGAATATTGGGATACTATTAAATATTTTTTGAATGAAATGGTTGTAAGTGAAAAGACAGAATCGGGGGAATATCTTTTATCTGTAATGCAGAACATAGACATGAAAGCATATTTATTATTCTTAAAATATATATTACAATTTTTTAATGTCTTTAATGCATTTTTTCAAGCTAAAGAAACAAGGATTCATTTGTTGCAGTCGAAAGTAATTGATTTCCTTATTGATATCTGTAAAAATTTTTTAAAACCAGAACTTTTAAAATATTTGCCTGAAATTAATTTCTCACAAAATGAAAATCATAAATCTTTGATTGAAATTAATTTAAGATTGCAATGCGAAGAATATCTCAGTCAATTAATGATTGAAGGACATACAGACGCAGTTATAAATATTCGAGAAAATTGTTTACAATTTTACATAACTGCTGCCGAGCAAATTTGTAAAAGATTACCAGTCAATGACAAATTTTTGTCTAAATTAAAAATTTTCAAATCGCATACAGCTTTATTTGATATCGATAGAGAAACGTCATTCAATGATATTTTCTTTTATCGTTAAAACTATTGGCGGTTTTGATGAAGACTGTTTAAAGAAAGAATGGTCAACATTGCATTTAGATTTTACTGTAGCAGAAAAACAAAATTTAAAAGAATTAAATTTTGATGAAATGTGGAAGCAAATTTTGCAATGTCAGAATAACGACATTAAATATCCTAATTTAAGATCTCTTCTAAATGCAATTCGATCACTTCCTAACTCGAATGCTGATTCAGAAAGAATATTTTCATATCTGCCAGATGTAAAAACGAAAAAACGAAATAATCTGTCATCAGTTTCTGTAAATGCTATTTGCGTCGTTAAATCAGCATTACATGCCAGAGGGGAAAATATTTTAAACATGAAAATTGATGACAATCATTTATCTATCATGTCATCTAATAAATTATATGCTAAGCATCCTACTAAGCAAAAAAGTAGTCTAACATTATATCCTGCAGATGATGACAATATTGTAGGGATAGGAGAATATATTACTCTATACGGTTGTACTAAATCGTTCGTATTTATTT